AAAAGTGCAAAAGAGATTATGTTTTCTCTCAAGCTTTCACCTGAATTAAAAAATAATAGGAGAAACTACCAAATTTGAAAGTAACCAAGATCTACAATTACCTTTTTGAAAAGTCTAGTGTTTCATTACAGTGAGGACAACTGTGAAGTTAAAAAAAAATTAAAATTTCTGGCCTTTCAATAAACTTAGCCTTAAAAGACACAGAATATATCCATATGCTGTATTTCAGCTTTTCCATCAGGTTCTGTGTCATTCACTTGGAGATTAACAGCAGTTCCAAGGTCAGTTTATGTCCAATTATTTAAATGTGATGTCTGTATTGTTCAGTAATTAGGAATGGATAATTTTTTTGCATTTCAGACTACTGCAACTGATGCTTTTACAACTTAAACGTCAAAATGTAACTGGGTGGCCATATATAATTAAAATAAACATATATAATTATATATTTTATGCTTGGAAATTAAAAAGGACAAAACAATGTTAATAGGATATTGTTGTATTCATTTTCACTGTGTGCCCTGAAAAAGATATTTTGAAGAAAAAAATCTAAGCTTATAGAAGCAAAAAGAGGTATTGACACAGATGCACTTGTTCAGCTTTGCCCCAGACAGTAAATCCTACAGACGTAGAGTGCCCCCTGTGGGATTTTACCTTATTTAATTTCACACAAAGTAATTATAGGAGATGCTTTGGTACCATTGCTGCAATCACATGACGGCCTCATAGACCAAATGGCCAACAGAAGTTATAGCCCAGTTCAATACGATGAAAAGTTTGTGTCGGGCCTAGAAAGCCATGCCTTGCAGATGCAAGGTTAACATATCACTGCTTTGTAGCACCGACAAGAAATGCAAAGCGACTTCAAACTACAGAGACAACTGTTTATATACAGAGACTATATATGTACTTCTGCAACTAGGAATCACTTCTCCTCTGGAGAACTGCTGATAAACCATAGGCATAAACCATAATTTCTCTGACAGGGAAAAAAAGTTCTTTAATTTCCAAGAAGGCAATTTCTGATGAGCTGACAAGTTATCATTGGATGGACATTGATATATACATATACTTTTTCTGCCTGGTTCTGTTCACCATGGGTGCACATAACCTGAAATACTTTTATTTGCTTAAACTGTTTGCTGCATTTGAAATTACTTCACACCTCATTTTGGATCAACTGAAATTACTTTTCTGGCAAACAAACTATGTGCCAATTAATCAGTTTCTTTTGGACTACTTTCAATTTCAACCTCATACGTCCAGACAATACTTCTTTATTGCTAAGACGATGAACTTTTCAGAAGATAAACCACCTCAGCTTCCACTGACTTCGTTTTCAGTTGTGAGTGTTCGTGTATGTCTGCTTGTACCTTTCTTACCTGATAGCCAGAAAATGAACACATGGACTTATCAACCACCTACCAAATATTTTTAAGGGACTTTATATCATGCAGAAAAACTGTAGCAGAGATAAGGATGAACAGTCTTCCTGCATAGCACTGCCTAGGTTGGCATCTTATTTTTAATAGTAGCCCTCACGTAGTTCTCAGCAGGCCTTCCAAATCTGAGATGAAATAAGGAAGGAATACAATAAAAGCTACACAGTCCTGGTTCATCTCTGATCACTGCCTACAGTCTGTATCAAATGAAACACTATCTGTGGGATGTATTCATGTAATTAGAGACCACTGTGATAAATATTCAAAAGACCACTCATGTAAAGTCACATAAGAAATCAAGAGACATGTTTTTGACAGCTTGATTTTGAAACATAAATTATGTTCTATTACAACAATTCATTCGTCTGCAATATCCTTGATTATTTTTAAAGAAAAAAGAGGATAGTAAATTATTCTTGGACAAGTAATAATCTTTCTGTTGTGTGCCAGCAGGATGAAGGATTCAACTCTGAAGCGCCAACTACATTATGTAAGTCTGCATCCCTTGAATTATAGGGCTAGCAGCAATTGCAATTAGCAGGAGAAGGCATAATTCAGGCAAGGGCTGTTGGACAGTTTTCCAGGTCTGAAAGAACAGATTGAGAAACGCTCCAACTGGGACTTTTCAACCCTGAAGCAGATGACTAGGAAGAACCTTCTGGTCCTTCTGACCATAACAAAAGGCCTGCCTAGTCCAAAAAAAAAAAAAAAAAAAAAAAGAAAAAAGGAAAGAAAGAAAGAAAGAAAGAAAAAAATCTCTTCCCTATATGCAGACACAGTGTCTGTTCCCCTTCCCTGCAAGTGCAGTGTCTGCTGCTACAGTTTTGGCAATTGCATGAGCTCGGCCCCAGATTAGACTGTTTGTGCTCGGTTATTTTCACACACTGCCAAAATTTGCTGACAACACCAGAAGAAAAAAAAAGGGAAAGGAAAACTGGTGATTTTCAACAGTTTATAACTCAGCTCAGCCTAAGCAGGTTTTTATGGGACAAAGAACAGAGATTTCTCTGTAGACAGCACTTTATTCCTGCCTAATTTAAAAGATTTGCTGTGAATGATGGAAACATTAGAACTTCTTAAAGAAAACATAACAAAACAAAAATCCTAGCAGTTCCCTAGTATTTTTTTACAGTAGATCAGGTTTGGTCTCTCTAATAAATAGAAAGACCATTATCTACCTCTCTCATAATTATTTACAACAAAGTTTTGGGTTTTTTTTAAAGAAAATGAAAATATTAGACTTTAAGGCAGAGGGCTTCAAAATACATAGTATTTCTTTAAGAAGTGAAAATTTTTCCTTGGAATAATTCACACTTGAGCTACTCTAGTGCCACAGTATTCCCTAAAGAGTGTGAAATTATCTTCTCAGGGTTACAGAGTCAGTAGTAAACACAAGTTCTACTCTAAGAAACAGTATTTTAAACATATATTTTCACTAACAAAGTATCTAAAAACTTCCTGTTAAAACCCAGAGGTAACTTTCTGGAGTCCTCTTGTTGCTTTAACGCTTTCTTTCAGTCCATATCTAGAAACTCCTAAAGCAACATTTCCTAAGCTATTTTTGTTGTATGCTCCCCTGTCCCATCAGCTGACTGCAGAGCCCAGGCTGTTAAACTTACACCTCCATCAAATCTCAAATTTAACCAGTGCTGCTTTTGAGCACCTCAAACTTTTCCCAGTGAAGCATGCCCTAAAACTTGGGAAATGTTGCTTTACTGTATCTTTGAACAGTATCTGTACACCAGCTATTGTTTTCTGTTAAGGATACCAAAACCAGCTAACTGCTTCACAAAATTGACCACTCATTCAATTACTATTATTTTTGAGTTGAAATAGTAGGAAACATTTTAACAACATTAGAAACTTTTTGCAAAACTAGAAAACAGATTACAAGAGTGCTTTTCATAAAAGGATTAGGCTGGGAAAGTAGGGCAACAAAGAATACACTGGAGTTTCAGTATACAAGATATTTAATTGATTGGGAGTCCTCAGTATAGACTTGTTTGCAACAGAGCCTCATGGTGAGGGTAGGCTTTTGAAGTTTGCTTTATAGAACTTTAAGACAGACCAGCTCTGAACAAAACATGCTCTGCTAGTTAACTATGCAAACATAATATTTTTTCCATCTTTCTCTCCACGTGCTGACAGCATTACCATTCTCTCCAGTGTTCTTCTTCCTTCTGAGGCACAATGGATCTACCAGTTTATGCAACTCCTGATACCACGTTTAAGTACAACAACCTTCCAACAATAACTTACTCAGCTAAGAGAGGTCATCGTTTAGAAGTAGTGAGTAGTTACATTAAAGGCTCCAGAGCTACACAATTCCAAATACATTTCAGGATATACTGTATACTACGTGTGTATTTTAATGAGAAGGCTTGGCAGAGTGGTTTGGCAGAAGAAAGTACTGCCAAGTGATTGGATATGGGATACATCTTCAGTTGCTTTGGATTCCCACATCACCTTAAGAGCTATTCTTCCCATCCCCCAATCACCAACTCTCAAGGCAGTCAAATTTATAGCTCAATACAATTTTTTATTAAAAATAAAGTGTGGCTTTTAAGTACTGCAGTCTTCCAATGTCCTTATGCCAGGTCTAGATCAGACTCTTGTAGCTGAATATGAAGCTGGGGAGGCTTGGCCCACTTTATACAGCACTCTTAAGTTAGAGTTTCAAGATCCAAGCCACCTCTCTTTCCATTTTGTAACAGCTGTTTTTCTACCCTTTCATTAAAAAAAAAAAAAAGAAAAGGAAAGACACTAGTGTAGAAAAGTTAAATAAATAAATAATGGCTCACAAAACCACAGTGGAGGAACCACTGCTGGTCCTGCCAATAAAAATGTTCCTTCTCTTCAGGGCTGGCTAAACAACTGAAAGTGTTTCTAATGAACTGCTGGCAGCACTATCCATCATTGCACTAAATGGATTCATGTCTCCGTAAACTAAGGATAACTATTTATCTATAATGCACCATCAGAAATTAGGAAGTATTTAAGCCTTAGAAGTCTAATTCCTCACTTCTTCTCTCCTCTTCAAACCTTGGTTTTATTCAGGCCTCCTTATGTAAAGATGACGAAAGAAGCCTGACTGATAGAGAACTTCAAACTCTGTTCCAGTGCTAATAAATCATCTGCATGAGTCTGAAAAATACTTTAGCAGACCAGACATCTGCAGTCTGATTTTAGCATTACAACCACCTACCATGTTTATCTTTTCCCTCTTTCTTTTTTATCCTTTGTTACACTTAATCATGTCTCATAGGCTACTCAAAGCAAGATGGCACGTTCATAAGACACACAAAAAAATTGAGTCCAAATAATAGCAGTTTACTGCAAACTATTTGAAGGAAGAAATGTTTTTGAGCTGTAAGAAAAGTGTGAAAGCCATGTAGGTAATCCGTGGTGAGAAGACAATTCTGAAGGCTCGACTGATTACACAGATAGCTGCTATCTACAGAGACAGACTCATGCAGTGGTTGTCATTTGAATACCAGGGATCAGAGAAGAATTCAGAGATATGAATAAAACATGACTACACACAATGAAAAGAAACACTTACTTCATTTCCAGGACTTCCTCCAAATGTTTCCTTCTTTCAGCTCGTAGGTTGGTCAAATGGGTTTCCTTCTCAGCCAAAGACTGTTGTGTAGAGGACAATTTTGCTTTCATTGACTCCAGCTCCTGCTTAACCTTCTCCATGGCCATCATCAGCTCTTCCACCTAAAACATTTTTGGGGAAGACAAGAGGAGAGAAAAACAGTGTAATGTGATCAACTGGAACTTACTAAATATAACAACTAAATTGGAGCACAAAGGTTACCAGTGCATGTACACTGCGTAACACTCCTGCAGACTGGAAGCATCATGTAGTGCTGTGGACAGTAGAACTACACTTGATTGAAGCAACATCATATTCTGTGAATAAACATAGTCTGGTCACTGGAACGTTACCATTACAATACCAAATTACAAATGTTTGACTCTTCAGTATCTCTATTTCAGAAAATGTACCACAAGGATAAAAGGATGGCCTGTATATATCAAACTTAGCCCACAAAAATGCCAGGTATTAAATGGAATACAGCAATAATACACCAAAAGAATAAAAAGCTTTCTTTGTAAATGACGCCTAAACAAAAACTACATATGCACTTCATGAACAAAAGTAATGTTTCCAAACCAGGGAGAGGACTGGGTTCCCATGAAGACGTAGGTGAGGCTACCTCCCTCGAAATATCTGTTGAAGAATGCTCATAGTCATGTTTTATGATTTAGCAACATAAAAAGCATTCAAAGAGTTGCTGATGGCAGGCAAGTACAGCAGAACAATGCTCATATCTTCGGCAAACGGGAAAGGTTCAGAATTAACATGACGGCAAATTCTAGCATAGGTATTACACAGATGATCATAGTATTTTATTTTGCACTTGGAGCAGGTTCTGTCTCAGCTAAAATTTATCACTAATTGAGCATTTGTTGTGGTTTTGCATGTTTAGGTATAGCTACATGTAACGTACAAAACTCTCTGTATATTCTTTAATAATTTTATAATAATGCTCGATGGCACACAATACTTTCACTGACTTCTTCCATATAGATTTTCTCTTTCTATCACAATCAACTGTTCACAATTTTATAATGTGCTTCTGATGCTACTGTTGCACATAATCAAACATTTGTATAAATTTAATATGACAATACAGCACTGCATTGCATTTATAGGCCTGCATAACAATCAACTTGTGTTCCATCCTGGAAGTGAATTACTGAAATGATATTAAGCTCTATTTCTACTTACAGGATTTTACAAAAAGAGTTGGGTACATGACTCACTATACAGGTGCTGGAAGATGTAAGGTATGGAACACATCATTCCTTGCTTTAATAAATCCTGTACTCCTAAAGGCAAAGCTGATGACTCAGGACAAACATGGATAAAAAGACTGGCTTTCATTCTCAATCAATCATAGAGCTAATTCAGAATTAGCAGATTTATAAAAATCTAGCATAGACACTGTGCAGTGTTTACTGTAGAAAGTCTATCTCCTTCCACTCAAATGCAGCTGAAAATAACCATTCTTCTTACGCTCAGCAAATTAAGAAAAATTTAGAATATGCAATTATCAAAAACTATTCAAAATGTACAGCCAAGAATATATCCAGTAATCAACAGACCAAAGGAGAGTTTCGGTGACACGCAGTCCAAACTGGCTAGCATGCATATAGTAACCAAACTTCTCCTCTCTTATTAGTGTTTAGTGCTCAGGTCAAGATAAGAAACTCTGTTAGCTTTTAGAACAAAGAGAAAACCCCATAAAATGAAATAGAACAATGTATCAGAAAAGAATGCAAAAAACTCCTGTAGAAACAATGAACAGCAAAAATACTATTAGGATGGAAACTGATGTCTAGAAAGGGAAAAATAGTAACATGCTGGGGAAGTGTATCAGCTTCTACTTCCTTTGGGTGGATCACAATTACCTACATAAAAATTTTCCTTTAAACTGGGAAGAAAACAGGCAAGCCAACTACAAAACCCTCTTCTTATAACAGAAAACAATCTCAAATAAACAAGACTTCAGCCAGCTGCAATAATCAAAATGGCTTGTGTCAATCTGTCAGTTGCCAAGATAAAACAATCTTTGAAGCCACATCTTTTCCATAATCAGATTTGAAAGACTTCTGACATCCTCCCAGTCATCAAGATTTGTGATGCTAACACTGAAGGACTGGTTTGCTTGATGCAGATCTGTAGCAAACTCTGGGCTGTTAAGAAGACACAGCAAGGCTAGAGGCCGATATCCAAGCCAAGGCTCCTAGTGCTAGGAGTCAAAATCTGACTCTGCAGCAGTACTCTGTAGTAGTGGTTATTGCAGGTACTTAATCATTTTCTTATTGCTCTGTTTGCTAGTTCTTTTCATTCTAAGGTTATACTCTGTATTTTTGCAGGTTAACAGAAAATTGATCTAATCATGCACTAGGAATGGCTGGAATGCAAGTAGCTTTTAAACTGTGCCAACAACTTAGTTTACGAAACTGTCATTACCTTCCATCCTCTCCAGCAAGTACCATTCGTCATGCGATTTACTAAAGACAAAATTCACCAAAATAGTGATGACTGTATTCACAATAAAGACTTCATTGTTCAGATTCATCAAGTTATAGATATTCCATGGCACCATTTCAATTAAACTTCTACAAAACAAAACATTTTATTTGGCAGCTTATGAATCTTAGTGCAGACCTGTCTGTATATGTCCCAGTAAGCAGTCCTGTGAGAAATGATACAGGAATATTCACTGGAAGCAAACTGCTTGCAAAGCACATCTAATTTAGCCTACACAAAAAACTTCAAATTTACTTGATTTTTTTTTCCCTGAGAGCAGCTAGTTATATAATAAAGAAAAAATATTTGCCAAGAATCAGAGTTCTTGGCACACTGAGACATTTTCAGAGACATGCTGTTGACATTTTCAATTTAACTGCAGGTAAGCTTGTGCCCTGTCAGTTATAACTAGAAAGTTTCCATTTCAGAAAGTGTAAAGAGTGCAATTCTGCTGCTCTTTTCTCTCTGCTCAAACAATAGTATATAAAGCAGTGTGTATCTTTGACTATTTATGACTTACCCATGATTCAGTTCTCTGTAGACAGGCCTGAAAGGTCCTCATGTATTCTGAGGAGGATAGCTCTGCAGAGAACTTAAATGGAGACTATTCTATCATTGTTTTTAGGCCTTAAGTGACCTGACCAGGCGACAGCTTATCTTTAAGGAAGAACATGAAGCTGAATGAAGTCTCCATTAGAGGAGAGAGTTCCTGAGAGACTGAACAAACTATGTGAAAGAGGGTAAACTATGTCAAATGGATCAGTATGGGATTCACAGCAGTTGGAAAGGGAAATGTCAACATAGGACAGATTTTTTACATAGTATTACATCTCCTTAGAAAGCATGAAAGCAAGGCAGAGAGAAAAGGCTCTACAACAGAAATTTATCTACAGTGTCAACAGCATCCTGTAAAGAAATAGAAGAAATTATATATTACCAAAAAAATGAAGTCCTTTTCAGGAGTCTGTCTACTCTCTTAACCTCCCTGCTCCTACAAGCTCTAATTTCAGCCTCCTCTGATGCAACTGTAATCAGAAAACAGGCTGTTGCATAGACATACAGTTATCAAGTATGTGGTGTTTCTGGTAAGCTTTTCTGGCCATTGGGTAATGTGTATCCAGGGACTTCCAAAGAGCTTGGTCAAGTTCCCCAAAAGTCAGTGAAAAGACAGTAAAATTCAGAAAGGGACTGGGTATGCAAAATATTAATAAGGCTTGGGATCCTACCAACCTCTGTCCTAGTTCCTGGAAAGATTATTGATGATCAGGATAGGCAAGCTCAAATTCCCACCTCTTATGTGAGGAGAACAAATGCATTACTGAAAATTTCTGAGAGACAGTAGATATTTCAGGCCAGGAAGAAGGCTACGTTAACTGATGTGGTTGGTATAGGTCACCTCTTAAAATCAGAGCCCAAAGACTTCAATACCTAAGGTAAAACCAGACGGACAGGCTAACTAAAGCAGCCTCAGGATCCCCAAATGCTTCAGTGTGTTTAAATAACCATATAGTGGCAGCTACCTTTTTCTTCCCATTTTCAACTTCTTCCTCAGTGATGAACTACCACCTGAAGAGAACTTTTCTACAGAAAATTGAAAAAGACCTCCACAGCCCTCTCAGGAAGATAGTTCTGGAACTTAATTTTCTGCTTATATCTTTTCAGAGAAGCAGAGAAATTTGGGTCATCATCCAAGCAACAAATGCATCACGAATGCTAGTAAATTGATGTAATTAGCTACAGTGGTACTGTGCAAATGTAAAGAGGCAATGGACAAAGTCATCAACATGGAAACAAAAAAAAAGAGCAAAATGCTATGCACTTGACAAAGCAGTTGCAGGGGCATAGGGTCTATTTGGAAATGGTGATGCACGTAATCCACATCTATATGCTATGTGCATATAAGAATGAGGAAAAGGCTAAAGAATGCCCTACATAGACACTGCAAAAGAAAATTTTCCAGTCTCAAGTAACAGATATGAATGCAGCCACAGTTCAAATGTACATGACTGGCTTAAATAATATTTAATAAGGATAGCAAATCACTGGTATAAAAAATGTTTTATGTTAATGTTAGATAAGGCTTTTCCCCACCTGTATATTACAATCTTTGCCGAAGAGACTGCATTTCTCTCTGTTACTCATTTTTTCATAGAATGGTTTGGGTTGGAAGAAGCCTTTAAATATCACCTAGCCCAACTCTCCTGCCCTGGGCAGGGATGTCTTTCACTAGATCAGGTCGGCCAAAGCCCCATCAGCCTGACCTTGAACACTTCCAATGATGGGGCAGTCACAACTTCTCAGGGCGACCTATTCCAGTGTCTCAGCACACTCACTGTAAAGAATTTCTTCCTTATGTGCAGTCTGAACTTTACCCCTCTTTCAGTTTATAACCTTTGCCCCTTGTCCTGTCACTACAGACCTTGGTAAAAAGTCTCTCTCTTTCTTACAAGTCCCCTTTATATATTGAAAGGTCAACCCAGAGCCTTCTCTTCTCCAGGCTGAACAACTCAAATTCTCAGCCTGTCCTCACAGGGGAGGTGCTCCAGGCCCCTGAGCATCTTCGTGGCCTCCTCTGGACCCGCTCAAGCAGGTCCATGTCTGTTTTACACTGGGG